AAACAGGATTCCAATTTAAGTTTACAATTTACTAAGTAAATAGAGGCAAGCAAACCACGCTGGGTGCGCCGGAAGTCTCCGCTCCACCAAGACACACGTGGTACACTTCCTGTTCTTGGTTTATATCCTGTCTGCCAATACATATTCATGAATAGGCGTGTCTTCTTCGGCGCATGCCCTCTTCTCCTTCTAGAGTCTTCTCGAATCTTCCTCAGCGTGATCCTGTCTGCTAATACATATTAATGAATGGGCGTATCTGCTAATACATATTCATGAATAGGCGTGTCTTCTTCGGCGCATGCCCTCTTCTCCTTCTAGAGTCTTCTCGAATCTTCCTCAGCGTGCCCCCAGGATGACCCCAAACTTTATGCATGCACTTTACAGGTTTCTCTCTACACAATACTATGCGGTCAGTGGTCAAACTGGTTTGAGCTGATATACCAGCAAAGTAGTTTTAAGTTTCTCCTGTAAAATAGAAGTTTTGGTGGGAAAGGCTGAACAGGTTACCCCTTTTCATGGTGCAGGAGAAATCCATAAAAGTACAAAAGGATACACTTCATCACACGGATCAGATGAACATGTTTCACAAGTACAACCAGTGTGCCTTGTCTGTGGGACACATCACCACAATTATTGTTGCCAGCTTTAAGATGGGAGGTGTAGTTCCAGGTAACAGCCAACCTTGAGCAGTGAGTGGGATGAAATTCCCTAGCCTATGGCTGTGGTGACTCCAGATGGGAACTGTTGTTGGTGATACTTGTTATCCGAGGACAGAAGGGTGAGTTATACTGGCTGCTTCTGTAGCACCACTGTAGCTCATTCTCCTTTGTTGAAAACGAAATGTTGATACCGGAGTGCTCTTCACCTGGTTACCCTTTTATATTTGCTGTAGTGAGTAGAATAATGAAAATAAATAACTTAATATAATGACAAATATTGAGATTCTATTTAGAAATGGTTTTACTTTATGGTTTGTACTAATGATTCTCTTTTCTATATTTAAAAGAAACACCTTGAAAATGTATGTGAAAAATATATTGTGTCCTAGGTACAAAAATTACAAACAGCAGTAGAAGAATTGAAATCCAGATATGAAACAGTCTTGAATGAAAACAAAAGGATAACAGAAAATAAATGCTTAGAAGTAGATAAGGTAAGTTTTAAAGTAATAAAGCATGTTTCCAAACAGTTCTGTAGGACATTGACAATCACTACATTGTTGTGATCCACTTATTAGAAGACACAAGGTACTGGTTCTTTTTTGTTTTTCTTTTTCCACCTATAGAATCGTTTTTCAATTAATTGAATGGTTTACTAACTCTTACTTGTGAGCAGGTGGTTTTTGGATACTACACAATTGCAAATAGGTGAGAAATGTTCTTAGAGTAATGCTATTTTAGAATTCCAGAATTCATTTTATGACTTTTAAAAATGCAGTTTTGTTATTGATGATTTTAAAACTAGGTCTCTCCACAGAACAGCTGTGAAAGTTGCATAGGGAAGCAAAACTACTGTAAGACTGTTTTGCAGTGTGAGTTTAACTAGCAGTTTAAACAGAGAATCAATAGAGAGCTGAGTTTTAATTTTTTTCAGCAGGTAGAGCTCAATACTGAAGCACAGTTAGCACATTCTTAAGCATCAGAAAACAATACAAAATTGGCAGGAAAATCACTTTACTCGGTTCCACTGCTCACCAAAATACGTATTCTTTTAAGCGATGAAGCTGAGGCAGGGACAGGTTTTCCATTGCCTGCAATATTCTGTTTTACAGAACAGAATTACTCCTCACGGAGAAGCATCTCAGATGTTCATTTTATTTTATACTAATCATTATTTCAATGATTCAGGTGTAGAATGGAGAAAAATGTTTTCTGATCCCCTAAATAATATTTGCACAGCATTCCGTGTGGCTTCAGGTGGCATTAGGTGTTGCCCTCTTTACAAATACTGCAATAGTTGTATGGTCAGAATATTTCCTGTAAACTGTTCAATCTGTGTGTATGCCATCTCCCAAAATACATTGCAATAAAAATAAAATAAAAATTTGGGTATTGCATGATGAACTGCTAACACTTGCATCATTTTGTAAATGTTCATTGTGAGTGTTACTGAGTCTTTAATGAAATGTAGTCAGAGCGAGAAATTTCTCCAATGGTGAACTTGTAAATTAAGTGATATTATGCAACTTGTGCAGAATTTAAGATTTATTACTTACATGGAAAGCCACTAAGTATTACAACAATTAATTTATGGTTTTACACTTACATTTTTCTCCTGTGATGCTATGGTGCAGGTGAGGAACAAAACGGAGGCCAAGTTAAAGGAGTTAGAACACGTTTGTGACTTGCTGAAAGCAGCTGAGGAAAAGCAACAAGGATATCAGGAAAAGTTTATGTCTTGGGAAAGGATCCATGCACAGGAATGTAAAACCTTCAGGGACCTGCAGGATCAGGTGCTTAGAACATGCTGATTTTTAAAGATAAATGAGAAAATTATGTGGAAGAAAGTCTTTGGGACTTTTTTTTCTATTAGCATGTGTGATAGTTGTGCGGTTTCCTTTGTTATTTGCTTCATAAATAAAAACCTTCTTCTGTAGAAATAGCACAATGCAAACAAAACTATCACCAACTGTATTTATGTGAATTCAGTGTGGGACAAGACTAGTTACTTAGATTTACTTTTAGATTCTGTATCTTTTAACTGAGTATATTCTTGATCCTTTTGAGTACTTATCGCTTGAGATGTGTTGCAGTATTCTTCCCTGGAAGTAAATGTGCAAGTCTAATTATTGTTTGTATCTAGTGGAATAATTTAATTCCACATTCATGTTGTTTTTAATGACTAATTTAGAAATCAGACAATATTTGCTTAGATAGATAGTCATATTATATTGTTGATGAATTATAACTTTAACATTTTAATGATTACATTGTGTTGGTTGATAAAATACATTAAAAAGTATGCTTTAATAGGATCATTTCTATTTTAGCAGTATTTTAGCACTACTGCTTGTATTTTCTCTTAAGCCTAAATATGAATATTCCTCAGCTCTTCTTTTGTCTGTGACATCAATTTCAATGTCAGGGCTAAGTTTGGGCATTTTTGTTGTTCTCTTTTCTCTTTTACATGCTTTTGAGTTAGAGGAGAATACTCAGCTAGCACAAATGACAAAGGTGTGTGAATCGGTAGGGTGGGAGAAGGGCTTAGTCTTATTCCTGTGTCAGTGGGAAAACTTAGCTGAAACACAGTGAGTTTCTGTGTCCCTATAGACTTTATATGCTTATAAAAAAATAGGTCATGATTTTGTTTTAAATTTCTTGTCAAGATGATCTTTATAGCATCAAATTTTGTTCTTATTTATATAATTTTAAATTATCCTTCCAGGAATGCTCATAAATCCACCTTTGCTTAGCAAAGTACTTATGCAAGAATTAATTTTGAGGTGCATATGTAAAATGATATATGTAATTTTAATTTAACTACATGTTTTCCTAAATAAATGCAAAAAAACCTCTTAGGTATAGTGAAGTAATTGGGACTATAATCACTAGTGTGGTGGATCAGCTGTTAAATTTCAGCATTAAATCTTGGTGACATCTTTTAGAGATTTTGACCCTTGATCCTATGATCAAAATTTAGGAAAATTCATTTTCAAGTAACTGGACCATGTGCAGAAACCCTCTTCTGGGTTCAGCTGGACCAGGACATCGGTTTCTGCTGCTACCAGTCTGCTAGCTGAACAGCCTGTAACTCACATAAGCAAAATCAACCAGCTTAGCTCAAATTACTGGATGGAACTGCTTGAGGTAGTCCTGTGAATGATGGAGGTTGCCCCTTAGATAATGGTGCCAGAAGGCTGGTGATGTGGCTATTTATTCCTAATGTGCTGTCGATGGGTGGTAGCAAGGGCAATAATCTCATCACTACTGTTACGAGATTTAAAAGAAAACATGTAATAGTTTGTCAATCTGGGTGCTGAACAGGGAAGACGGTGTTTGCCTTCTTGGTTTCTTCTTATGAACTTGATTGTCATTTTTGTGATATTCACTACTTTCTGAAATTCTTTGCTGGTGCTACACTGTTTTTCTGTGATAACTGTATGTATATGCAGTATTATTTTTATGCTTCCTGTGACTATAGTGTGAGGGAACTTATTTTTGCTGGAGTCTAAATCTTAAGAGTCACAGTTCACAAGGAGGTAGACCCAGCCAACTCCTAATACACAAGGCTGCATGAGCAGCATATGGGTTTTGTTAGGAGTTCGCTTTGTTACATAGCAGGTTTTCAATCGTGAAGTGTTCACACAAAGTTTTTGTCTGCTATTTTGGCTGTATTTTATTTGTTTTAAATAGAACTTAAATATAATATAGTGTTTACCTGAAATTCCAGTTACATTGTTTGATCGGATTTTAACAGGCAAGCTTACTTTACTCTGTAATATCCTGTATATAGGTCTTTTTAACTAGCAACGAATTGTCATTTTCACCGGAAGAAGACAGTGTAACTTCCGTGGGCAGTCATTCCTTGGAAGCAGAAAACCATAACATTCAGAAGAAATATGAAGATCTTAAAAGGTAACTTTTTAAAAATCTGACTGTAATTAATTCCTACATTCTTCTGGTGTGGTGATTTATAATACATTAATCTGTTTTGTGTAAAGGCAATTGGAAAAGATGGAATTTCAAAATGAAGAACTTGCTTGTCGTCTCAAAAAAGAAGATGAGAGTCTTCAGTGCAGTAAGTTGCAGCTTGAGGAGAAAATTGCAGAATATAATGGATTAACCAGACAACTAGAATCTGCTATGGAAGAAGGGAGAAAAATGGTATTGATGATTTAATAAATCTCTTAAACTTGTTTGCCATTTTCTGTTTAAATATAGCATTAAAACCAAATGTACTTGAAAAGAAAACATGGAACAAGATTATTTTGCATGGAGGGAGCAATAGTAAAAAGTTACTAGGAATTCTGCATGTTTAAATATGGATTGTACAATTCAATGTCTTTGTGGAGTTAAATACTTAAAAATAATAAAAATAATAAAAAATAATTAAATCCCACACATACAGCAAAAAGTTTCTGAACACAGGCTTAATCTTTCCTTTTTCTTATTTTTTTGGAATGGGTAGCCCACAAGAACCTTAGTGTTGAAATCCTTCTCATTTTAGAGGAAAGCTCTGCATGCTTTCAGTATTAAGCAGAGATTTGTCATTTGTAGAAAGGATGTAAACAGTAAATCAAATGGAAAGGGAAGTGTAGGAATTCAGATTGCAGTGAATTATATTAGTTTAATCAGGAATTATGTATGAAGTTGTAATTTCTGTTTCAGATTAATCATGTTGAAATAAACTATCTGAATTTTCTCAATAGTGTCTGAGGACATTGATTTGGTTTTGAAAAAAATAACAAGTTTGGATAAACTTACAAATGAGTTACGCAAGTGTCTCCCTCTCAATAATATGACATTTTTTTTTCCAAATTGAAATGTCTCCAGAATATTTCCCAGATTTGTTTAGTTTCTGTGCATGGGAAATATCTGCAGAATTAGATGACAGAATAGGAAATAGAGCTACTAATGCTAAGATATAAGAAAATAATTGGGCTTTAAGTGAAAGTAAATATACATAATTTCTCTCACATTACTATTACAGGTAGCCAAAGAACTGGAAAAAATGTCATACAAAGAACAAGCCCTTCAGGCAAAAATGCTAGTTCTTGAAACTGAAGTGAGAGAGAGGCAAGAAGAGAAAAAACAACTCCTCTGCATGTTTCACCATGTGAGTAAATAATACTGTTTATGACTTTAAAAATTTACCACATCACCGTTTACATAATATTCCTTTTAATGAAAAACACACTTTTAATACAATTGATACATAATTTGGGGAACAGCAAATTGATTCAACTTGACACTGTACTTTGTATATTGACATTTCTAATAGACTTAACAGATGCCCAGTCTATTTTACTAAATCACTGGAATAATATTGAGTTTACATCACTTATTCAATCCAGTTTTCCCAGCAAGGCAAAAATAAAAAAATATGTATGAACTTGTATCACATTAATCATGTTCAGTAAGCATACCTAGATTTAAATAAATGCATAATAGTGCCATTAACAACATAGTGGTATTTCTTTTTTTCCTGAGTTGATACAAGAATCTGATCTTACCAGATTTTGTAAAAATCTTTGAGCTTATGTACTGATGTTGCACATAAACGTAGTTAGTAACAAAAGAGATATTCTGATTTTTCAAAGTGTCAAGCCTTTAAATGCCAAGGTTTTGATATGTTGAAGTTAAGATATGTACAGTCTAAGAAGGTATTTTGGATGAGTAATACTCTCTGAAGACAAAGAAAGAAAAGAAGTCTTGATTTATTGTTTTACCTAATCCCGAAAATTTCAGCACATTTTCTATTAATAAATGTCAGACATACCTGAATTCCCTAGATTAGTGATGGCAAATCATTTGCTTTAATCAAAGTTTTGATACAGTTAGAGATTTGTCCTGTGATCAGTGATAATAAGCTTCAAAGTTATTTAAAATAAATATAGAAGACACTAAAAAGGTTTGGTATCGTTCTCCTAGACTCTCAAAACTATTACTCTGTAATTCTGACTTGAAGCATTCAAGAGTAAAATCAAGCCAACCTCTATTCAAGATTCAAATAAGACATCAGAGATATGGTTCTGAACATAGTATGTTTTAATTAACCTTTATCTGTATCAAGTGTAACTTAGTGTCTGCATTTACCATAAGACAAGTGTCTTTAAAACAAAATCAGACATTGGCTAGTGTTTTATTCTAATTCAAATATTTTTTCATAGGAATTTCTTACTATGTTAAAGTAAAATAGAAAATAAAATTTTCTTGTCTTTGTCCAAGAAGAAATCCCAGGTTGAATTGGGATGTGGAATTTAATCGTATTCAGCAAGCAAATTACCATAATATCCTTGCCTTAATATTAAGAAAGAAATTAAGTTCTTTTCCCTAATAAAGTAGTAAGCTTAGACATTCATGTAATCTCTTTTTTTGGGAGGTGAGGCAGGGAGGGTGTTGTAATTCAGCTGAGAGAGACAAATTTTATCTGAATTTATCAGATCCTATACCTTAAGACCTATGTTCAGAGATCCTAGTTTGGTATTTTGGTATCAGTCATCTTTCAGGGCTTTTTGGTAGTAGAGATTTATGGTGATGTAGAAACAGTATATTGTATTTCAAATATATCTTTTCTACTCTTGTCATGAAATCTAGTTAAAGATTCCCCAATTACATTTATTTTGGAGTCTTGAAACGAACCTGAAAGTGTACAGTATAGTATATATATCTGTTGTTGGTTTTTATTATCATAGAGTTGCATTGGTTGTCTTTGATGTAATACCAAGGTACAAGGAAAAGAAACAGCATGGAAGGAGTCATTGACAGGGACAAGTTAAGAGTTACAGAACACAGTGCTATACACTGTTATAACTTTACTGGCAGTTGAGCATCCTTAAAATTAGATCCTAATTTATTTCTCTCTGCAACTTCAGAAACAAGTAGAGACACTTGCATTTTTGGCAGGATTTTTGTTCTTTTTTATCAGTGTTAGAGGAATCTATTTTTATGCAACTTGTATGGTATTTGTAAGTTACTTTACTGTTTATTTTTATACTTCATTCTGTTTTCTTTAAAACTGGTGGTAGTCCAGTTCCTGAGTTTGATGGGAACAGAATTGGATCTCAAGAGCCTAGTTCTGTTTAAAATTATTTAAATTTGCTATTTTCAATCAAATTACCAGTACATTTTAATTTCTGATTAATTGTTTGCTCATTAGTCCATTTTAAATCCTCACTCCAATGGCTAAAGGCAAAGAAACTCTGAGAACCACGAGTCCTAGATAATGAGAATTCATGTCACTTGACAGAACACTGCTGTTATTCCTTCTCTGTTAGAACTAAAGTATGTGTCCAAATGGTTTCCATTTTAAGGTTACAGTTAAAATATAAATGTGAAAGGTATATATGTCTGAGAGAAGAACTGTTCTCAATTAATTCATTGTTTTTTATTCCAATTACATTTACATATAACCGAGAATGCATTATGGGAAATTATAAAATGGTCTTATTCCTGTTGTAGTGAAACTGGAACAAAATAAGTTCACAGTTATTCATTCTAACCTGATTATTTATTTCTAAGGCTGGATTTAAATCTGAAGAGTAGAATTCAATTTTTTAAAGTTGAATTCATTTTAAGCAACTAGCATCTGAAATCTATAATGGAGGTAAAAGGAAATACCTGTAATATTTATATGTCAAATGATCTATGGTGTGCATCAGGTATGGAACTAATGAGCAGCTAATATTGCTATCAGTTATCTTTTTTTAAATAAGGAACAATAGGGATCAAAAATAATGTCGCATCAGAGATCAATAACAAATGTTTCCTTGAAAAATCAACAGAAGAGAGTGTTAGGTCCATAATAGATTTAAGATGCTAGGAGTCTTTCATAATAAAAAACCAGAAGGTTAGTTTTTATACTGCCAGGCCTTTTTTGGATTATAAGCCTATTCAAACATGTTTAGACTGATCCTGACTGAACATAAATAAAGTTTCAATATTTCAAGGTCTTTTTGTGAACCTTCAGTTTTGTGGAGCCTCTGAAAACTTTCATGGGTAAATAAGGCTTGTAAAAATTAGGTACTAGTTGTCTTGCATTATTATTTTGATTGATTTGTATTTATTTCTAAGTTGTATTGCATTTCTCTTTTTTTCTTTAGAATGAAAAGCACCGAGAAGTATGTTTGAAAGAGCTGGAGAACAGCCTACAGAAGTCAGAGAACAAGAACCAGAGCATCCAGAATTATGTGCAGTTTTTGAAAGCCTCATACATAACAATGTTTGGCTGAATTCTTTAGTTTAATGTATTTTAATGATAAAGAAACTTTTCAAGATTTGGCTAACTCTTGTTGGAGACAAGGCTGTTGAGGCCTTGTAGTATTTTACAGGACTAAGTACTGTAATGTTAGTTGTCCCCTAGGAAAACTTCTGTTGTGGGCAGGTCAATCATTCCTGTAAATTCTACTGGCTGGTCACATATGGAAAATTTAGCTGGTATTACTGAAATAAAGGATTATTCATGAAACAGAAGTGAAAAGGCAGCCTGCGTGACAGTAGTGACAGGTGTATAAGTGTGGGGTATGCACACAAAGTTGTAAATTGGCCTGTGAATTTACTGTGTGTTAGGTCCTGTGCTGTAAAATCTTATGTGTGTCCTTTCAGCCCATGGTAAATGCGGATGATCACAGATTACCTTTCAGTTCCCATGGAGGAAGAGAACACCCATGGACTGGTTGCATAGTAATTTGCCTATTTTAATTATTAATAATTATATAATATTTATCAGTCCTTATACTTCTTCTGCTGTAGATATCTAGTTGCCCAAGATAATGATATCTATCCTACAAAGACGGGCAAAAATTTAGAGAGCATTAGGCTCCCTTCCTGTCTTTTCCCTGTAGCTCAGCACCGGTACAGCACACACGACTGCGCTGCCTGAAATAATTGCCGCCACAAGGCTGTCCCATCCAGCCTTTTTTCCCTTCTCCCATTATGATCAGCAGTATACTACAGTAACATTTTACAAATATAAGTAGGAAAGTATTAAGTATTTTGGATATAATTTAAGCTCTGAATGTGTTGATATACCGTTTCACAGTGACACAGCTCCAGTTAAGGTATTTAAGTATTTATCTGTGCTTGAGTAAAAGAGCTGCTGTTTGCTGAAGTAAGTAAGACTGACTTATGCCTCAGGTTCAACACATGTAAATATTCACCTGATACAGGGCTAATACAAAAGCCAATTCTGACTGAGAAAGTAATTGTTTTATACATATAGGCTTACAGAACGGTGGTATGTTTTTTGAAAAGTAGTACATTCAGATAAGTTTAATACATGTAATTTAGAATGTGTATTTAAATAATATATATTTTTAACTGAAAACATAAGTTATTTCATACACAGACAATACCTGTTTGTTAAATGTAGTGTTTCATAGTTATTTAAAATGTATAATGTTCTTTTTTTCCAAATGCTTCTCCATCCTAACTCATATGTCATAATGATCTGCTTGTGTGCACTTTTTAAAAATAAAATTATCACTTATTATATATGAGTTACGGTAGTAGCAAATATTTCTGTTATATTTTGGGTGTCTTTTGCATTACACACACACTTATAACCATATTTGTAGTAATATTTTAGTTCTGCTTGTGCTACTTTCAAAAGGTTTTGATATTTTATAAGTCATCATGCATGAACAAAAGATTTCAGAAATAAAGTGGTGAATCCAGCCATGACTGGTTTTTAAAAGGTCATCATGGGAAATTGTACACTTTTCATTGATATATGATACAAACATGTACAGTAACTTGATTTCAGCCTACCTTTTTCTATCCGGGAAATTAGATTGGTTTTTTCCTATGTCATTTGCAAGAAATAGATCTGGAATTATCAAAGTTCCTGACAGGTTCAGGTACGTCTTTACCTCTGAATGTCTACAAACAATAAATTTAAGATATGTCCGTGTATATGTGACATGATTTAGCTCATAAAATTAGAAATGTGTGTGTTTTTCAGCTCAACCCATCATTTCCACTGTATTAATCTAGACTTTCTTTCCTTTCCTTCCCTTCATATTCAAACGCTGGAATATAGGTTCTTGATCTCTGAAGTCTTAGAAATCTCTTAAAAATGAAGACAGCATTTTCCAAATTATGGTGATGTTTTTATGGCTCTCCATTACTGATTTTTTGTTTGTTTGTTTTTTTCCATGGTGGAAATAGGGCTACTAGTCACGAAGATCACTTATTTTTTCTCAGTTTCATTTGGGAGCTGGTATTAGCTGATCATGTTATCTCCAATTTAAAGTTTGTTAGCTTATTTAGAGCCAGGAGATGCTGTGGATTTCAGTAAAGAAAAGAATGAAATTCTTTTTCTAACTACCTAAGGATTTGCCATTTCCCTTAGGCTGCTGTTTGTATTTTTAGTAACTGTAAAATACAGCTGAAGTAGTTCTTGCCGTGTTCGTTTTACAACATAGAAAGCTGTGTGTCATGCTGCAGACTTCTTGGATACAGCTATGCTGAATTGACTGTATTTAAGGATTCTAACATTTTTCTTGAAAGCAATTTATTTTTACGGTCTGCATCACATAGTGAAGTGACACTCAATTTTCCAGGAAGAAACAGACTCCTTATGCGTGCTTTCCTGGGAGTTTTCATCTCTAGATGATTTTAGAAGCCCTTGATCTTGATGCTGTTACCAGCACCTCACCCCTCAGCCTTTTCTCAAATAAGATTTTGATTTAGTATTTTCCCTCACAAATGCTTAATGTGCTGCTGCAGTTTTCAAATACAGACAGTCAGATGAAACATCTTACTGCTGCAAATATGTACAGAAAAATTATCAACGCAACAGTTACTGGTCTGTATTGTATGAGCTTTGTGATTATGTTTTCAGTCTAGTCGTGTTCGTTCACAGGACCCTTAGCAAGCAGGAAGATTTCTCTTCTGCTGCTCAGAACATCCTTGGCCAGAAAAGCAGTAGAAATCAGAGATTCTGTGTAAAAATTTGACTGTGCTTTCAATGATGAGCTCACCCAGTAAAGGCTTAAAGAGATGTAAGCTGGGTAAGAACAGAAGAGCAACAAAAATAAGATTAAAACACTAGTATTCTCTATCCCACTGTATTTCGAAGATTCCCTAGTAAGACATTTTTACCATAGACTTACTGAGATACATAGCTGGATGTTACGCCTTTTATGTGTTGCAGAATTTTATGGTTCTGCCGAGATTTTTGTGGGAATTTTCCACAAAAGCTGACTCAGCATGATCCAAGGTACCGAAGAGAGCCCACAGCTGAATGGGTACTGGTCTTTTTGTAAATTAAACCAAAGCCACCTACAATTTTACTATTTTCTCCCAATATCTGTAGCCAGTGAATTTCCATATTCAGTCAGAATTTCAGAGCTTTAATTAGGTTAAATTGTAAGCATGTAGTCCTGAAATTGGCAGGCCTTAAGGAGTTGACCTGAACTCCCTACTCCTGCAATCACTCATCTGTGATAAAATGGACGGTAACACATCAGTGCCTCGTTTCTTGCTGGTTTTGAGAAAGAAAGGATTTGAAGAAGAAGATCATTATCATATGCTTTAGATTTGTTAATGTATGGGAACACAGAATTTAAAGCAGAAGCATAAGTCTTAGGGCTACTTGGGGCCCTACCCCCTTTAATCCTGTCTGCCAAGTAGCTTCTTATTAATGGCTTATGGTTGATTGAAGAACTTTATCTGTTTCCTATCTATGGCACAAAAACTGCTATCGATCCTCTTGTAAGATGGAATCTTTCCAGTAAGAGAAGAGAAACTGGGTAATTTCTCGCTGGATACCTGCCTCCTTAAGGGCTATCTTTATAGAGACGTAGCGATCATTGAGCTCCATACAGATGACTCCTCCGTCGAGTGTGATGGGTTACTAGCACAAGATTTCTTTTGATTAGGCCTTTCGTCTATTTAATGTTGAATGAAATCAACACTTGGATTTCTGTGGAAAGTTTCAGGAGGGACCATCATCATGCAGCTCAAACTGTCCTCTGCTAGGATTGTGTCCAGCGTCCTGCCTCAGAAAAGAGCCAGATTACAGACTTTTTGTGACAAAATCACTTTGTCTGTGATTTTTCTACAGGAAAAGTGACCTGTCTTCCTCCGTGACAAGCTGTGTAGCAGCGTAACATCTGCGCGCGGCCCTTACTGCGCTGGGAGGCCTAGAGCTGGCCAGCACAAACAGAGATCAAAGCAGGGCCCCATAGGAAAGGGTTGTGTGGGGCGTGAAGTAGATGCAATGATTTCATACAGATTTCTTTTTGCTTTTTCAACAAAAGCTTCCTGTGGATTGTTTTAAGGCTGATGTAGCTGAAGCATGTTCCTTAAAGCCAGAGAAGTGAGAGTGCTGTGTTGATGGCCACCGGTGAGGAATATTAAGCAGTCAAAACCATGAATTTATTGCAGTCACGCAGGTCACCCTGATACGCGCCTGGGTTCAGAATATTTCCTTGTGTACTTATGGCCGAACAGTAAGCGTACAGCAGCTGTCACTCAGTATAAAGCTTCCAAACGTTTGGAGGTGGAGTGTGTTTTGTATTGCCGACCACATCTACCTGCACCTTTCACTTGGGATTCTTCATGTATTGCTGTTGGCTTGCAACTTTTGGATAAGGCTCCTACAGCTACGAACAGACCAAAGGAGTATCATCCTAGTGACAAGTAAATCATTCGCGCTCAGAGAAATCTAGTGTCTTTAAAATGCTGGGTTTATTGAGAACAATAATATTGTTTCCAGGAAGTAACTGACTTATAAACAGGCCTTTTTTGTTTGAGTGTTTGACAGACTGGATCAAATACCTGATTAACGTATCATATTGCTTTTATGGCAGATTAATCTACTTCATTTAAAAACGACAGGGAAAAGGATGTTTTTACGTGTAGAGGCCCTGCTGCAACCTTGTGTTTCATTGTATACCGTAGCTTCTAATTTATTGACAACGTAAGTATTTCATATGCCACTCTTCCTTTCGGTGGTACTACTAACGATTGAAACCAAGTCTTCCTGGTTAGGCTGTGCTTGCTTTTCATCCAATTCAGTCCTTCAAAAAATCTTTGATAACATCTAATTTCTAGAGCAGCTGTTACACATCCAATAACCATCTGCAGATCTCCCACCAGCATTTCGGGCACGCCGGGCCCTTGTTCATTATCACCGTGACCACATTGCTATTCTTAGCGAAGACTCTCCGTTGCAGCGCGGCAGCCTACTCCGCTGTGGCAGCAGTCCACTTACTAATTTACAACT